ATCTTTGTGCCCTCTGCTGGTCTCTCTCCAGGAGATCCCTGTCTGTTTTGTACTGGGGAGCCCAGAACTGGGTACACTGCTTCAGCTGAGGCCTGACCAGGGCAGAGCAGAGGGGAGGATCACTTCCATTGCCCTGCTGGTCACACTCCCTTTCATGCACCCCAAGATCCCACTGGCCTTCTTGGCCACCAGGGCACACTGGTGGCTCATGGCCAACCCGTCACCCACCAGGACCCCCAGGTCCTCCTCCGCAGAGCTCCTCTCCAGCAGCTCATGTCCAACTGCACTGATATGTGCCCTCTGAGCTCAGACAGCTCTCAGTCCACCTCTCTGTCCTCTCATCTACCCCACCTACTTCCTTACCAGGATTCTGTGGGATATGGTACCAAAAGCCTTGCTGAAGTCAAGGCAGACAACATGCACTGCTCTCCCCCCACCTACCCAGCTGGTGATGCCATCACAGAAGGCTGCCAGGTTGGTCAATCAAATGCGATGGATTCTGTATCACAGCACAGCTCTGCCTTACAGTGGGAAGCAATGGACTGTAGCAACTCTGAAGTAATAGAACTGGGTATTTACAGCAGTGGTCCAGTGCAGTTAAAAGGAGGAGAAGGATTTAGGGATGAGGGGACAAGGGGGAATGGTTTTAAAGTGAGACAGGAGAGGTTTAGGTTGGATATGAGGAGGAAGTTTTTCAGCCAGAGGGTGGTGAGGCACTGGAACAGGTTGCCCAAGGAGGCTGTGGATGCCCCATCCCTGCAGGCATCCAAGGCCAGGCTGGATGTGGCTCTGGGCAGCCTGGGCTGCTGGTTGGCGACCTGCACACAGCAGGGGGTTGGAACCAGATGATCCTTGTGTTCCTTTTCAACCCAGGCCATTCTATGATTCTATAGAATACTTCTGTAATCCACCAGATAAAAGTTTTTAAGCAATACAGAACTTATTACACCAAGTTCTGTACACAGCCTTGGAACAATGGAATGTGAACAGAAGAGGAATTAATAATTTCATGTATCCTCATGAAAAGCCTGGGTACTGGCTTGTTGTGATGGGGGTCTGTCTGTCTGTCCTCTCCCACCAGAGCTCCTGCAGCTTCCTGTCCTGCACACCTCCAAGTCCCCCAGCCCTTCTGCTTCCCCAGCTCTCCCCCATGAGTGAGGAAACACAGAAAGAACCATCAGGACACAGGCCAGTATCCATCTCTGTTCTTTCACTTTAGCAAAATCAAGGAACCTTTGATGCTATCGCTGAAAGGAAATTCTGACCACACTGCCAACATGGCAATGCTGAGATCAGAAATGCCACCAGAAGGATGCAGTCAGTCCCTAAGCAAAGCCAAACGACAGAACCATTCTCTGTTGAGCATGGAAAGGTAATGACCTTGAAATTAAGGAAATTTAATTTTGAACAGGGCTTTATCACTTCCCATAACCTGGTTTCTAATTCTAGATTAATGGTGCAGACTGAGTCCACGAGGGACGCTGATGTTCTGTGCACAATGTCAGCCACACTGAGAGAACTGATACTGAGGAACAGTTTGGAATCTGATCACCCTCCTTTCACTGACCTGTCTGAAGTGTTGGAAGTGCCTCCTGTGCTGCCCATAACAGTAAGAATTGCCATTTGGGCTGTCAATAACATCAGTAGCTGCCATCAGAAAACGCCTGGGCGTTCCAAAAACAAACAGGCATTCCAGCTTGGAATGGAATGGATCTGCAGAACTCAAGTCTACCTCTGCAAAATGAGGAACTGGCACAAACCTTCAGGCACTTCTACATGGAATGAATGGAGCCCAGTGAGCCCAGCACCGTCCCACCACCAGGAGCACCAGGAAGGACAGCGGGGTTCCCCACCTGAACCCATCAGCACTGCAGCTCAGAGTCATGGCGTGGAGCAGCCAGAAATCCTGCTGCCATTCAAGAAACAGCTCCACATTGCAATGCCCACCTCATCACCATTACAGGTGATTAGACGTGAGTGTAGAGATGAGAGAACTGAGGAGGGCTTTCATTCTATTTGAGCAATTAAATTACAGGGGGAAAAAAAACAACGTGGTAAGTAAAAAATTCTCTTACCTTGGTATGTCTAGACAAATTAAATCTCTAGGACAGCGTGTCTTCCTCCATGCACCACAAGTCCTGAAAGAAAAGAAACAAACAGAATTTAGCAGCATCTTCTCAACACAGTACTGTGTGCACCAAAGTGAAGGATCTCAGCCCAGAATGAACCCACAGCTCTCAGAGCAGCATCAGCTCAGTCACAGCCTGTGTTCACACATCTCCATCTCTGTGAGCCTGCAGACATTCTGGTCACTTGACTCTCCCCCCTCAGCACCTTTCAAGTGAGAAGAGCAGAAAAGCAGACCGTGTTTTCCCTCAAAGCACATCCCATAATGGAATGCTCAGAAGGCAGTCTCTTGCTTCCAGCATTTCTGTACCAGCACCCTAAGCAGCTCCAGCCTCAGATGGACACAAAAGTGCCACGGAGGCACTCAGCCTCTAATTGAGAATTGGGCTCTTGGCCTTCTGCTCCACCTTCACATGCATACAAAGCTCAGCTGCAAAGAGCTGTGCTAAATGTATTTTGCTGCTGAAAAAGATCACAGCACCATTGCAGCAGTGCCATGCGTGCCCCTCTGCTGGCAGTGCCCATCCCAGTGCCTCTCCCTTCATGTGATGCTCCATAAAACAAAGAGCAGAAAGCAGCTGGGCAGTGAGATGGAGCCCAGTGTTGCCTGCAAAGCAATCCAGAATGCCCCATCCTATCCACACGCTGAGCTTTCACTGCTCCTATTACTGCATTAGAAATCTTCATGTGAATGCAGCAGCATCATTGCTGCTATCAATAAAAACTGAATGTTGTTAAAGTGCTTTGATTCCTTTAATGCCTTTAACCCTACAATTATATTCATAAACTCCACTGCATGGGAGCGCTGTATCTCAACAAATATATCCAGACAGCAACATACAAACTGTTACAGGGAGAAGAATCAATGTTAGAACTATTCTAACTATAAGGATGCAACGCGCCCACCAAACTTATGAAGATGAGGAAATGCTATTGAAACACACACAGCTGTTATTAATGCTGCCAAGCCAAGGAGCCAACAAGCTGAGAGGTAGAAGCACTGGGCCTCAGCACATTGGGTTGAGATAATTCAGTACCTGCAGTACAAAGCAGGCGACCTGCAGGCCCAAGTGGTTACACCTGTGCATGCAATAACTGCATGAGGTTCAAAGGCAACCAGTAGGGATCAGCTTCACCTCACATTCCAGCACCCAGCTTCAAATCACTCCTCAGCACGCAGCCGTTCTTAGTGTAGAATCAGAGAATTGCTGAGGTTGGAAAAGACCTTAAAGATCATCAGGTCCAACTGCAACCTCCCCATAGTACCCAACTCCAACAACCCTCTGCTAAACCACGTCCCTGAGCAGCACATCCACATGGTCTGTAAACACACCCAGGGATGCTGGCTCCACCACCTCCCTGGGCAGCCCATTGCAGTGCTTCACAACCCTTTCTATAAAGAAGTTTTTTTCCTGATATCCAACCTAAACCTTCCCCTGGTGCAACTTGATGCCATTTCCCCTCGTCCTGTCCCCAGTGAGAAGAGAACACCCCAATACAACATTTTCAATACATAGATATC